AAGGCAAAGAAAATTATTACATGTTACTTTAAAAAAAGTAGACTTGTATAGATCTCCACTGTTCAATACAGTTAGTTACTAGTCACCTGTGGCTATTTAAATAGAAATTAAAGTAAAAAATTATTTTCTCAGTCACACTAGCTGCATTTCAAGTGGTCAGAAACCATAGATGGCTAGTAGCTAACAGTGCTGATACAACACACTTCTGTCATCATATGAAGTTCCATTGTTGGATAGTTCTGGGTTACAGCTGTCTGGTAGATCCGTGTCTTTTTATTTAGAGTTCACTGAAGCTCTAAATTAGCTCTCTTTAGAACGTTATCTGGCTCTGGTTAAATCTATGTGCACCTGTGCTGTCCAATAAAATAGCAACTACTCACTAGTGTCTGGAGCACCCTGGACATTTGGCTAGTCTGAATGGAAATTTTCTGTAAGCATCAAAGGCACATCGGATTTTTAAGCCTTTGTATCAATAAAGTAAATATAGCATTAAAAATCTCTGAACTGATTTTATGTCGAAATAGAATTTTGGATGAATTGGGCTGAAGAAAAGGTATTACTGGAATTAAATCCCATGTTCTTTTTTACCATATTTAATATTGCTTCAAGGTCATCATTCTAAATTGCACGCATGGCTTGCATTGCATTTCCCCGGATGGTGCTGCTCTTGACCTCTTTGCCCCACTGTGTGACTCTGGAGCGCTCTCCCTTTTTTGTCTCTTTTTTCTCTAGATCTGCACAGCCCACTGCTGTAGCCATAAACACATACGAGTAGTTCAATTTAAATCAATGGAAATTAAATTTAAAATTTAGTTCCTCTTCCACATCAGCCACATTTCAGATGCTCAGTAGCAACATGTGGCTACCAGCTGCCCTATTGCAGAGCCCAGAAGTAGAGCCCAGTAGAAAGATCTGCTGGGCAGTGTTGATATAGATTGTACATAGCTATGACAAGAGCCCCATAGATAGCTTGTGAATGCCTAGAACCTGGGGTACCCATGTTGCCCAACTCTGGGACACCTCGTCCTCCCATCTTCTGGGTGCCTGTCCCTGCCTACCTCTGTTGGATCTGTTCATGCACACCTTACCTTTCTTCTGTCCTCCCTCAAGGGCTGGGTATCCTCTCTCCATGAGCACACCTCCCTCCCTGCTCCTGGATGTCTGTGGTATTTAACATGGTGCTTTGTACAACACAGGCACTCAGTAAATATCCGTTAACCAGCTGAAGTAGCAGTTCCTAGGAGGTGACTGGGAAAATGTTGCTGAAACTAGAAGATCTGCTTGACAACATGAGGCCAAAGCAGGTTCCCTGCCAGCAAGGAAGAGAAGTTGGTAAAGAAGCAGAAAGGAGGAAATCGGAGGGGCAGTGGTGACATAAAACCTCACACATGTCACCAAGAAACCTTCGCCCACCCGTTATGCCCCTCATAGGCAGTGACAAGAGTTACTGCAGGGAATTCTCAGGCTTAGGCAACAGCTATATAAAAAGTGCGAAAGAAATCCAAAATATTATTATGTGATAAATAAACATGCCAGACCCGTAAATGAGAAGTTGAAATGGCATGAAAATTAAGGGTCTGGTGAGGAAAAAAAAAGAAAAATGTTCTCTCCCTGGGCCAGCTGGTTTGAGTTACATTTTATGAGCGGCATGTGAATTCCGGAGCCCTTGTTGAATTAGCAGCAGAATCGCACATTAGTTTTAAGGCTCCCACTCGAATAGGAACATCATAACGTTTTTTAATTGGGGCTGATAAAAACGTAGCATTACTTGTAGGTTCCTGAGAGAAGTGAGTTGTGAAATTGGGTTTTCATTAAACCTAATGATGGAAAATTAAGTATAGTGCGTCTGGTGAAATGGGGTGTGATAAAAGGCATCACTTCTGCATTATCAGAGGTTAATAAGGGAATAGGTGAGGTAAGATACATTGGAAAAAGGAGTCCAACTAGTTGAATTAATAAACCTTGAAAATCCCTTGATTCCAAGTCTTCATAGCATCATTAGCACTAGCTTTGACATTATTACAAATGTTACAGCAATGCAAGTTGTTAAATTTCAAACACATTTATTTTCTATTCCAGTGTTGGTTTTGCTGACACCAAGTTTACAGTCTGTCTAGCAACGTGTTTAGGGAAATATCCATCTTGGTAGCTACTCGGTTTTGGAAACATTTGGCATCTCACAGAAATTTCCAGGTGCCCATTTGTAGGAAGCCTATCTTTGCCAGGCAGCTGGTCTACCATGCAGCGGTGTCCCTGGGTCCTTTGCGCAATGTTGGGTGTCCGTATGTGATAGTGGGTTAGGTGGGAAACGCAGGGCTCTGGGCACCATTTCAAGCTCTCCTGGGAATCATCTAGCCCCTCACTCAAGTGCTTCTGCCTTCTCCATTCCCAGCCCTAGCACAGAATCCCGGGAGTGACAGTCACTGGAAAGATGCCTCCTAGCCATGGCAGCCAGGACTGCTGCAAGGAAGAGTGAGAGTCAGTAAAGAAAGGGGTGCTTCCTAAACCTCTCAGCAGCTTCACACGGCTTCCAGAGTCTCCACGCACTCACGTGCTTTCTGGATCTGCCCCAGGACCTCGCTCTCCACAGCACCACATCGGACTCTTACCTCTTCACCTAGGTGCACCTCCACCTTGCAGGCTGTTTTGCTGTGCCTCAGCTGGTTCTTGATGGTTTTACTTCCTAGGCCAGCGAGCCTTGAGGGCAGAGTCTCTGTTTCTCTCTCCCATGCCACTTGCCTCCCAGAGTCCTCAATAAATCCGACTCATGATTCCTGGGGTGTGATGGAGAAGGGAGGCAGCCCCCACATTTGCCCAGGGCTACAGTTGAGTAATGCCAGGGAGGAAGCATCTGTCTATGCCCCAAATCACCAAAGGGTAAGCAGGGTTTTCCTGTGTGCAGCCAGGAAGGCTTTGTTGACATCTCCTCGAGGCCTTTCTTCCCTGTGTGCAAACCCAGGGCTTCTTGGCTGGGTCCCAAAGGGCCAGGCTCTGCCTTGGTTATGTTCACTGCCCACATTGAACCAGGAAGTCATTGAATAGGTGTGATCCAATCATTGTCTCAAGTTTGGACAAATGAAATTACTCCTAGCTCCTTGTCCCTTGGAAGAGCTAATACTTGGAGGTAGACAACAGGATGGAAATGAGAAATGTGTCCCCCTGCTGTATCCACAGACATAGTTGAAAGCGTGAAGGTCACCAGTAAGCCCTATTTTCCCAAGACTGATGGATTTCCCATGATGGAAATCATGGACTTCCACTGGCAAAACCAGACGCATGTCAGGCAGCCTGGGACAAGTTGGTCACCTGGAAAAGCATGTAGGCCAAATATTCTGCTCCATTTTGCTTTTCTTTGTGTTTTCAAGATTTATTTTATTTATGTGAGAAGCAAAGTTAGAAAAAGAAGCATAGGTAGAGACATCTTCCACCTGCTAGTTCACTCCCCACATGGCTTCACTCCCCAAAGCCAGGAGCTTCTTCTAGGTCTCCTACATGGGTGCAGGGACCCAAGCACTTGGGCCATCTTCTACTGCTTTCCCAGGCCATAGCAGAGAGCTGGATCAGCAGAGCAGCCGGGACTTGAACTGGTGCCCATATGGATGTCGGCACTGCAGGCTGTAGCTTTCCTGGCTACGCCACAATGCTAGTTCCTCCATTTTCTTTTTCTTACTGGGAACAGCATGGTGGTGCTCATACAGGAGTAGAGTGTCCTTTCACATACAGGGACTGTGTCTGATGGATTATTGTGACTTGAGAGGCAAAGAAGCTGAAGGGGATGTGGCTTAGGAAAAGACAAGTGCAAGGAATCAGAAATATATACTAAGCCTGCCAGGGCATAGGCCTAGGGGTGTCTGCATGGGTGCTTCACAGTGTCTGAAAACATCTGGGTGGGACACACCAGCTGCCACATCTGGCAGTCTTCATCATGTACACACTACCAACAGGTCTTGCACAGTCCATGTGTGGGAGGATGCTGGGGAAGCAAGCCTAGAAGGTTCTGGAAAAGCCCTGAAAGACTGACAATGAATGTGAGCAGAGAGCTGGTAGGGAAAGATACTGGCTTTTCAGGTCCAAGGGGAACAGTGGATTTCACACTCAACCTGAGCAGGTGTCAGTTTCCAGCATGGCCAAACTAAAAGAAGCCATTAAATCAGCTCATTGGGTGTACAGGATTTTTTATCAGAGCAGTGTATAGAACTTACTTCAAAGAGAGACTTTATGAAAGAAATGAGGCCTAGGATCCAGGCCTCGGGGAAGCAGCAGGGCTGAAGGAAGAGGTTCAGGTGTCTCTACCTGCGAGCTGGGGTCAGGGATACTCCTGGAGCCACAGTGGCAGTGGCAGAGAAACTAGACAATGGGAAGCAGGTGGTCGCTGCCACAGACCCCATCGCTGGAGAGAGCTACTGAATGGGTCAGTGCTCTGTAGCTCTTTGGGTCCAAGACGGGCTGTGCTTCCTCCCAGTGGACAATCCAAAGAAAACTAGTAGAGAAACCAGCTCCTAGGGATGCAGGCAGATGGAGCAGAGCAGACTTATGGTTCTTTGTCCAGATGCTGGGGCGTTCCATATCTGCAGGCAGGCCTCAGAAACTAGTCGCAGACACCCTGATTCCTAAACAAAAGAGTGCTGTGGATATCGCTCTTGTCTGGCTCCTCGCTGGGTCTGGGCTTGGCCAAGGCTGTTCTGACAAGCCTGGGGGAACTGTAGGAAGGTCTGAGACAGGCAGAGCATGAGAATCAACCTGGAACCTGGTCTTCACCAACACACAGCCTTGCAATGGAAAGGAACCAAGGGTACTTGGTTTGTTGTTTTAATGGTTAGGTCTACCACCCCAGCCGTGCCAGGGAAGCAGTGTGTCTCGGGAGTCTTTGTGCAGTGTCCTGATCAGTTGAGCCCGAAGTTCGTCCCCTGGACCCTTCTCAGGCCACCCTGGGAGAGGCAGGGAGGACAAAGGACCAAGCTCCCATAGGTGATGTCTGTTCTGCCCCCTTCTCTTTGAAGCAGATGGCAGCCGCGGGGAGCTCTCCCAGCCCACCCTCACGATCCAGACTCACCCTTACCGCACCTGCGACCCCGTGGAGATGAGCTACCCCCGGGACCAGTTCCAGCCCGCCATCCGGGTGGCCGACCTGCTGCAGCACATCACGCAGATGAAGAGAGGCCAGGGCTACGGGTTCAAAGAGGAATACGAGGTGAGAGACCAGCCTGTGCGAAAACTCCCCGCTGGTTCTGGGGCTTCCTAGGCTACTTTTAAAGTCTTGCTATGAAAAGAGTGGCCCCCTGCCCAGCCACATCAGCATCACCTGGGGGCCTGCTGGAACTGCAATGTCTTGGGCCCCGTCCAGACCTACCGAATCAGAAGCCGCATTTTAACTGGAACCCCACGTTCAATCTGAGGAGCACCAAGCTAAAAGATTCTAGGAACTCCTTCCTTGTCTTCTCCTCCCTGTCCCTGTCTCTTTGTCCCTCCCGGTCCATGTCATTTTTTTTTTTTTTTGACAGGCAGAGTTAGTGAGAGAGACAGAGAGAAAGGTCTTCCTTCTGTTGGTCCCCCCCCCCCCAAATGGCCACGACGGCCAGCAAGCTGCGCCAATCTGAAGCCAGGAGCCAGGTGCTTCCTCCTGGTCTCCCATGCGGGTGCAGGGCCCAAGGACCTGGGCCATCCTCCACTGCATTCCCGGGCCACAGCAGAGAGCTGGACTGGAAGAAGAGCAACCAGGACTAGAACCCTGGAGTGGGGGGGGGGTGCAGAGGCAGAGGATTAGCCAAGTGAGTCGAGGCGCCACCCGTCCATGTCATTATTTAGTTATCTCCACAAATTCTGAGCTTTGGAGCCACACCTTCCTTCCCTTTGAAAACACAGGCACTCAAGCTCCTATCCCCTGAGCTACAGGAAAGGCAGCACCCCCGTCCCACCCTTGATTCCTGGCCTGCCTGCTCGCCCAGCTCACCTCGTGTCCTGTACTTGTGCTTCTGTGGGGGTCTCACCTCCTCCCCAAGGCGATACCTCATCTAGTTTTTTAAAAATATTTATTTATTTGAAAGTCAGAGTTACACAGAAGAGAGGCAGAGAGAGAGAGATTTTCCATCCACTGCTTCACTCCCCAACTGGCTGCAATGGCTGGAGCTGCGCCAATCCGAAGCCAGGAACCAGGAGCTTCTTCCAGGTCTCCCACGTGGGTGCAGGGGCCCAAGGACTTGGGCCATCTTCTGCTGCTTTCCCAGGCCACAGCAGAGAGCTGGATCAGAAGCAGAGCAGCCCAGACTCGAACTGGTGCCCATATGGGATGCCAGCACTGCAGGTGGCGGCTTTACCCGCTACGCCACAGCAGTGACCCCGGTACCTCATCTCTGGTAACGGCGGTGCCCTCTCCCTGCAGCCTCTCCCCACCCCTGAAGTCAGTACCTTCTCTTTCCTCCCCAAAGCATCTCTTGCACAACAGGTATGTGGGTAGTGGCTGTTGCTGGTGTTCAAGGAATAACGGAGGGCTGAGCAAAGTACAGGGAGCACCGTAACTCGGCGCTGTTCTTAGAGTTCTGCGACCACGCAGGTGCCCATAGTGCCTTCTGCGGTTCTGGTGTCCTGACACATCTCTACCCACTCCCTTCCCAGTGTTCTCTTGGGTGTCTTCAAGGCTTCCCCCTCTCCACAGAGCTCAGGAGCAGACTCTCACAACCCCCTTCCTTTGTTATGCAGAACAATTGAGCTGTCTGCCCTCACTCCTTTTGTTTCAAACCTTGCCCATTAGACAACACCTTTTACAAACAAAAGTAAAGCAAAATAGAAGGAAAAATCCATTAAGCTGTTTTCCAGAACCAGCAGCAGCTCCCAAGAGAAACCTTGCAACTCTCCTAGTACAAGTACAACCCAGCTGTAGCCAGTGTTAAAAACAAGCTGTGTCTCCCCCGCTGTCCCTGCCTCCCTCCCTCTCCCCCTTCCTTCCCCAAATGTCCCTTGAGCATCTTCTGTGTGCCATGCTCTGAGTTATATGCGTGAGTTTTCTCTTAGATTTTCTTTTCACTCGATCACATGCAGCGTGTGCCCCAGATACGTTTGGTGCAGTTTCACTGGGTGCAGTGACGACTCACCAGCTCACCCTCCACACGTTTGGAACCCTCGATCCTGCGAACTAAGTGTGTCTCTCAGGTTATATTCCAGGAAGGAGCTTACAGAGCAATATTTCAGAAGTTGTGTGAGGTCATGAAATGGTGCTAAACTGAGGGTTTACACAGCTGAAATTTGGATTTCAGTACAGTAAGTAAAGTGATCTTAGCTCTCTGAGTTTCCAAAATCTTTATTAACTGAAGGATGAATTTGGATAAGGTGATTTCCAAGGGCCTGTCTGGTCCTAAAACTTTATGAGCGTATAAAACATGGTGGCAAGGGGCATGTTTGACATATTTATGAGAACCAAAACGTTTATGTCAATGGGTGTGAGTAATTACCAGCTTGGGAGAGCCAGCAGTTAATTTCAAATATGGTTTAAGGAAAATAGCATTTTTCATATGCCCTGTCTACAAATCTGGGCAAGAATATTGAAATGAGAATCAGAGGAAATGAGCTCATTAACTTCCCATCCCTGAATCTTATTTCTTAAGCAGTTGAATGGCCCCAGCCTCTGAGGGGAGAGTGGGGTACACATGTGTGTGTTTATGCATATGTCTACAGATCTGTTGGTTGAACAAATGTCAGGAGAAAGTGTGTGATTTGTAGAGACATATTCAATGTCGAGATGGTTTATTGGTCATAGTGACTTGGTTTAAAGTTTCAAATAGCATTAAGGGAGCTATGTGACTTATTGGTAAAAGAGATAAGTGACCAAAGTCTGAGAAAGACGTGTTCTCACAATGTGCCACGTAAACTTTGAAGAGAGAAAGACAAATGTAGTTGACTATTTTGGTGCATTTCCTTTCAGAATGACATTTCTTTTAAAATCAGCCATCCCCGTTTGGTGGGCTGCTTTGTAAAATGTCTTCTTTGTACCTTTTTGCATTTTCCAATCCTTCTAGTGTGGGAATAAGCTGCTTTTATAACTTTTATAATGAGACAGCAAACAATATGCATATTCCACCATTTGAACCTCAACCAGAAATATCTCTAATGAGGCTAGGCTTGTCTTTAATTTGTTCAAATTATGTTAATTAGCTGGCTGGAATGCTTAGCTTCTAGTTAACAGTATTTTTTGATTATCAGAGGGTTAATTGGAAAACATTACTTACTGAAAGTCTTTCCACAATGTGCGAGTGCACTTTCCTAGGCTTACTGGATGTCACTGTGGTCATCAAGGTTCCTGTTATAGCTAGAATCATCCTAACCATGAGTCAACCATAGTTGGACACTTATATGGTGGCTCAGAGCTCCAAAAATGTGCTTCCCAGCTAACCAGGTGAAAAGTGTGTCATGTTTGGGACCTAGATGTGAATGTCACACTATATCATTACAGCCTCATTCTATTGGTTATAAGCAATTTCCACATTTAAGGGGGGAGGAATTAGACACCATCTCTTGAGGAGCAACAGTTGCCAGATTCTAGAAGAGCATGAAGAATAGGAGGTATGGGAAAATCTTCAGATAATACAGTACTTAAATAGCATTGGAAAAGGAGGAGTAGATCAACGAAGGGAGATGGTGTATGCCCAGGACATGAAGTAAAGGAGGTTCTAGTATTAAGTGGTGTAGAAGGGTATTGCTTCATTAGAAAGTGAGATATGGACCTGGACCCGGTAGAAGATGTCTGGAGCAAGAGCGTTCCCGGTGCAGGGAGTAATGAAACTGGCGTGGAGAAGCAGGAGCAAGGAGTAAAGATAACAGAAGATTACACTGTAGAACTAGAGAGGGACCTGCCCATGTAGTACATCGCAAGTCATTATAAGAACGTGGGCTTTCACTCTGAATGAAGTGGAAAGCTACTGAAACATTGTGAGAAGATAAGCGATAATTATCTGACTTTATTTTGAAAGACTCATGCTAAACTCTATGTGGAAATAAGGAGGCAAGGGTGAATGCAGGGAGACCAGTTAGGAGGCATTGCAGTAACCCAGGATAGAGGCTAGTGCCAAAGGCTAGGAATAGCAGAGGATATTGCAAGAAGTGGTTAGATTCTGAATTTATACACACACACAGATACACACATTTGAATATGTATAAATATGTACCTGTATATTTGAAAGGCAGGGAGGGGACAGACTGGGAGAAAGAGACAAACAGAGGTTCTCTTCTCAAATACCTACAAAAGCCAGGACTAGACCAGCCAGAAGCCAAGAACTCAACACAATTCTCCTACAAGGGCAGGAGGGACTAAACTACTTGAGCCATCACTGCTGCCTCCCAGGGTGCACATTAGTAGGAAATTAAAGTGCGAAAGCAGAGCCAAAACACAAACCCAGCACTTCACTATGGAGTGCAGGTATCACAGTGGAGCCTTAACCACAGCCACAGCTGCCTGCATCTGAATATATTTTAAAGATGGCGCCAACAGGATTTCCTAATATGTAGCATGTCAGAGAAAGAGAGGAATTAAGAATGACTCTAAGGCAGTTGCCACTAGAGGGATGGAACTGCCACAGACCAAGATGCTGCAGGTAGAACAGAGGAGGAACAGCTAAAGCTTCCATTTGACCTGAGTTTGTAATGTGTATTGGGCATCCTTGTGAGGGTGGCAGGTGGGAAGCTATCTACATGAGTGTTAAATCTGGGCTAGAAGCCTGGGCTGGAGAGAGAAAGCTTTGGGAATTATTGGCCTATGGATGATATTAAAGTCACAAGACTGGATTAGGTTACCATGCGAGCATAGACAGAGACAAGGATCAAGGACTGGTCTTTTCTTTGAGACAAGTAATCGCTTCCCTAGGACAGTTCTTGGGCTCAGGTCTAGGAACTGAGGAGTAAATAAAGCCCTTGACTTCTGGGGGACTTAGAGTCCTTTCTTAGAGACAGGTTTATAAATCGATCATTTTAGCTTCTTGGCAAAGGGCAGCAATAGAGGTACAAGCAGAGCAATAGGGACCCGTAGGGTGGGATGTGTTAGCCTAGCACACAGGTAGATGGGCAGTGAGTCTCCGGGAGACCTAAAGCCTAAATCAAAGCTTGAGAAACAGGAATAAGCCAGTGAAAGGAGGGGAGCGTGTTCCATGAAGAGGAACCAGAACAAAGCATGGCATGCGAGTGTACGGAGCAGGATGACGCAGGAGC